TTTTTACGACCTTCTGATAAAGTCAACAGGGAATCCAGATTCACTTAACAACTATGCTATTAGCATAACTGCAGTGATTCACTTAACAACAGTGGCAAGAAAGGTCATAAAATGGGTCAAAATTAATTTAACAAATGTCTTGCTTTGCAACAGAAATTTTGGGCTCCATTGAGGTCATTAGGTCAAGGGCTACCTGTGCTGTGCTTTTGGTCTCTTGTTATTTTGCCGGGAGGGGAGGGAACTTCCTGACACATCTCACTCCGAATTTTCTTAAGTTTCCTGCCTCATCATCCTTGAAGGGAGAGACGTCCAGTTAACCTTTCTGCCCTTGAGTGGAACACAAATGTTCCAGTAATCCATCACAGCTCCAACCAAGGTATTCCTCCGTTTTAAATGCTGGTTTCTCATCAAGATTTCTCCAGTTATGACTGCTGAACTCTTTATAGATCAAGATGGCTCCGTTAACTAGTTTCCATAAAGATGTGAGTTGGGGGGAAGCCACTTTTTGTGCTTTTATTTATCAAGATAGTTTAATTCATACCCTCTTCCTGTTTGTCTCATCATTTTTAATTGCTGTTCTTCATCACAATTGTTTCATGCTACTGTTCTGCCATATTTTAATCGTTTTTTAAAAAAATGTTAGCTATACTGTTACACAGTCTTGGAATTCTGATCTGAAGAAGAGTTTTATTAATGTTATAAATAAAAAAGAATATTGGGGCATATGTATAAAGTTGTTATCTATCCCGAATTAGGTGAAATATAATTCCCAAATAAGACTAAATGACATTATCCAGTTTGGAATAAAAATATAGTCTGTCAACAACAACCAAAAATACATGCTATTTAGATGCCACCTTTATATGGCTGTGTTAATTTTATGGAAAAATATGGACTGGTCAATGATGTAAGGCAGAGTTCCCTAACCTTCCCGGGTTTGAGGACTGGTGGGAGGGTGAAGAGTGGGGATGGTTCCCTGCGAGCAATGGGCAAGCACATGTGGGGGCAGCTCCATTTGCACAGCCCAATTCCAAATGGCTCAAGGCCTGGGAGTGGGCTGCAGCCCAGGGGTTGGGGACCCGGTTTTAGGACATTGATCCAATTGAAAAAGTGAAAGAAAGGAACTCTTTCCCTCCCCTTTTTTTTTGTTAGCTGTCACCAGCAAGTCACAATGAATTTAACTGTCTCTTGCAGGGGCATCCATGATGAATAGAAGTAAGCGGTCAAAGTCAAAAGCATGGCCACAACACCCCATTAAAGGCCCACCCTTTTTTTAAATGTCTGTCTTGATGCACATTCCAGTGGGTTTTGATGACTCGGTCCTGGCTGCCATCTTGATTTTTATCTCACCCCTCCCCCGATGCCTCTGATCTCTTATATTTGCTACAGGTAATCCCTGACTTATGTCAAGATCGGAATTTCTGTTGCTAAGCAATGCAGTTGTTAAGCGAGTCATCACAAGACCAAATCTGATTTTACTTAGATATTTATGTATTTGTTATTTATTTGTTAAATTTATTTGGCGACCATCTCGTCATGGGGCTACTCTGGGCAGCTTACAATAGTAAAATTGACAAAGTCATAAATATATTAACATGATAATAGTAAAACAATGAAACCATAACAGTGAAAGCACAACATGAATTAAAAGATGGGTGGGACAGAAGAAAGCATAGGTAGGAGGTTAATTCAGCTAATTAGTCCAGTAGCCACCTCCAGTATTTTACAACCATTTCTACAAGGGCTGTTAAGTGAATCACGTGATTAAGCAAATCATGTGGTCATAAACTGAATCACACAGTCATTAAGCAAATCTGGCTTCCCCAATTGACACTATCTGTATCAAATAGAAAGATATCCCAATTCTGTTTCAACCAGTCATTTCTTCGTATATATACAGTTAATCTGAAACTAATGAAGTTGCCGCTCCCTTTAAGATGATATGGCTGATGCCTTCAAGCAATGGATGTAAGATAACCTAAAGCAGAGGTTTTCAAACCTGGCCCTTTTATGTGACTTCAACTCCCAGAATTCCTCAGCCAACATGCTTGGCTGAGGACTTCTAGAAGTTGAAGTCCACAAGCCATAAAAGGGCCAGGTTTGAAGACCCCTGACCTAAAGTTTCAGGATTATTCTTGGGCAACCACACTCCCTCCCTCTTAGGTTTCTGGGGGCCTCGTGTATGTGCAGATCAGGTGGAACTGAGTTGAGAAGTGGGGACAAAGTCCTGGAACAGAGATGGAAAAACATCTCTAAAGCAGAGTTTCTCCATCTCGGCAACTTGAACGTGGGTGGACTTCAACTCTCAGAATTCCCCAGCCAGCTTTGAGAATGAAAGTCCAGACATCTCCTAGTTGGCAAAGTTGAGAAAGGCTGCTCTCAGGGCTCCTGAAGTCATAGAAAGGAATGCCTCCTGAGCTACAATGCATTTCACTTGAAAAGTATTTTAAAGGCTGCAACACTTTTTTTTAGTCTGTCTCTTATAATAGAGTGATTTAAAGCCACCAAATCACTGATGGTTCCTTGGATAGTTGGTTATAAAAGGATGATTTTTATTAGTCTGGGAAAAGTTGAAAATGTGGTAGAGAAAACAGTTAAAGCAATTTAAAACAAATCATACCGTAACTACTGAAATGTGCCTAAATCCATCTAATGCATTCAATTAACAACTACTTGAAATCTTTAGACTAAGAATGAGGAAATAATGCTACTTTAAATGGGATTAGTTAATACTGACCGCCTGGCTTTCAGAAACAGATGCAGAGTTAGAGTTGAGCAGTGCACGATTAAGGTTTACAGGAGTGGAATGAAAAGAGTAACTAGTCATGTCACCTGGACTTGTAATGCATCAATTCTAGGTCAATTGTCAATTATCATTTACACACAAAACACCTCACTGTTTGTTCAGGAGGGATCATCAGCTACATGTTGGAAGTTGAATTTCTCCAACTCTTAATTAAGCTGCCTTATTATTTCTGATCCACAACTCAACAAAAGTATCAGACCAGGATCTTTACCTGGGAACTCAGAAATCAGTTTCTCAAAAAGAATGAATGAGAAGAATAAATAAGTTCCAAAGCATGTACGAATATCACGACACAAGAGAACAAGACTGTGCCTGTTTTAAGCCACATTCTTTTTCCTAATAAAACATACATTGGAAAGAACCTCTTCAGCTTTGACTACCTAGGGAACCAAAAATGGAACTGTTCAGAAGAGGGATCTGGAAATTCCAGCATCAACCTCAGGTCCTCCCCGAATGCTCCCCAACCCATCCAAGCATCGGCAGGCTGCGCTAAGATGACCTTCCATGACTTGGGAGAGAGGCAGGCACCTCGCCTTCTGCAACATGTTTTCCCTCACTTTGCTCATTTAACACATGTCACTCAAACCACTCCAATAAAACAACGATCATGCTGAAGGGAAGTCTCGGGGGAGGAGATGACACACCAATTAACAAAGCACAGACAGACAAATTGTTCCATGCCTCTGACAAGGAAAAAGGAGACTTGGGCAAGGAGAGAGAATAAGTCAGACCTCCCTTGTCAACCGTAACAAGCTCCCTCCCATTTTTCCATCACAGATTATGTTTATGGAGATTCTCAGTCAACCAGGTCATGGTTGTCCCAAAGGTGCTTTTTCAAAAGGCAACTGGGCTGTCTTGATTTGGTAATGGCCAGGCAGAGGTCCAACACGGCACATGGGCTGAGGCTGGTTCTCTCGCCTCATGTGCTGTGAGAGCTTCAGGTGTGGGAATGCAGATGAGCAGTGACGTCGTATCATAACAAACCACAGTCCCGTCTAACCCTTGCTGACAAAGTCCTGTGAATTGTTGATGGGTGGTGCTGCCCATCAACAATTACTACCAGGTTGGTAGTAAATCTTCACAAGACAAACACTCTTAACGTGGACTTTCGCACAAAGCTGGATCCAGCGATTAGTCCTGATCAAGCGACGCTCAAACCCCAATCGAGGAACCTCCTCTGTCACCAGAAGCCCCCGCCATGTACACTACACCCTAAGGACACACAGCACAACACTCAGCCTTAGGACAAATTCTCTCCACTCCTATTCATTGATGAATTAGGTTTAAGTACCAGGTTATCGTTAAAAAAACATGCTTAGCATGGCCAGGAATAAAAATGCAGGCAAAATTTAAAATCCCCTTAACCCCCCCCCAAAAAAAACCCCGCATCACCCAAACCAAAATATCCATTAAGGAAGAGAAAAAAAGTCTGGTGAAAAGTCTGTCTGGACTGACGGAGATTCCCCCAGCAAGAACCAACCACAGCTGATCCTGCATGGCAACCAGCCACAACTGGCCAGCTGTTTTACTCTCATGACAATCACAACTGTCCACTGTAACTCTGCCTCTTGGCCCTGCAAGTCTTGCTTGTGCTCCAAGGGGACTTTCTTGTCCCCAGGAGCCAGGCTGGCCCATTTCCCCAGACTCGCTCTCGGATGGTTTTCTGATTCACCGAATTGGCATTCATAGAGGAAGACTGACAACCAGACTGGGCAGAAACTGGCCGCTAGAAGGGATCCGGAGAGCAACCAACCTTCGGCCGCCTCTCTTCCCCATAGGGGTGCAAGGGCCTCTCCCTGCCGTACAGCTAAAGAACTGAAGGAGACCAGGAGTTTTTGACATGTGCAGCTGAAAGCAAAGGGGGATCAGAAAAGCAATCACCACAGGAAGTGCACAGGAACATGGGCTCAGGTGCAGTCCAACCTCTGGCCGTGAGTGGATTTTTGCCCAGTACAGCTGTATCTATCATCTCAGCAGTGAAACGCAAGACGTGGCCCTCTACAAACCCTCATTCAAATAATTTCTCTCCTTAGAAGAGACCAGGGAGCAGCTAAGAATGAAGGCCTGGCTTGACGGCTCTTCTCCCAGCCAAGGGCTGATGCTAGGCTCTTTTTGGGTTTATTGGTTTCCTCTGCTGTTCAAGATTAAAGGTGTTATTTTTGAAAACAAAACAAAAACCAGATAAGACACCTACCTCCATGAAGGAAATTCCTAGACTCCAAACATCAGAATGAATGCCGTACTGTTCTCCAGAAATTCTTTCAGGCTGTTAAAAACAAACAGGGAACCTAATGAAATGCCAAGGAACGGTAACATGATAGCGTATAAATTATGCAAGAAACAAAAACTGAATGTTTCAAACATTCATGAAGTGCCTAAAGGCATTTACTGCCTCCATTTACTGTACTAATTAATACCAGCAAATTTTAATTTTGATTCCCCCTGCTGCTTCAGCAGAGTGTGGAAGCTCCACCGTAGGCCATGGTGCACGATGCACCCGAGAACAGTCCCAGGCTCAGCCCCTCCCCCGTGGCTGGGTGTCCCCGAGCAGCTGCTTGTCGAGGAGGTTCACCTGCACCCCCAAACCCAGAAACCCGGCTCAGGTAAAGCCTAAAGCTGTGAGGTTGGGGAGGAACGCTCATTTTGCCCCCTCCTCATCATGGGATGCAATATAGATTATGGTGCTGGGCAAAGACACCTCTGGAGTGACCACTGGAGCAGCAGCACCTTCTGCAGCCCTTTCACTCTCCACAACTCAAGAACGCCCAGTCCCTCCATGTAGGCAGCCCTGAACTGACAACCGTTCATTTAGCAACCGAACAAAGTTACAAGGGCACTGAAAAAAATGACTTACAACTGGTCTTTTTTAAAAATATATATATTTTATTGATTTTTTTAGAATAACAGTCTTTAGTGCTTAGTAAACAACATGTTGTCTGGATTCATATATTTACCAACAGTGAATAGTAGTTAATTTCTATACTTTCATAATCAACATATTAACTATCCCTGGTCCTCTCTTCTTCCAATAGGTTCTCCTTTTAACCAACATTAAGCAAATATAGTTTTTAATACTATCAATGCATACACATTTAAATATAAACATTTTAATAATATTTCACAATAACATCAGTATGTAATGGCTTTTCTAATCAGCTTACTTTACAATTGCATTTGCAAAAAATCATCTTATGTAAATCACTATAGGTCCTGTTTTCAGAACTCTTATTTAAGCTTAGTTTCCCCTCCGTAATCAAAACATTTCTTGTCAGTTATAGTTTTCTCAGAGTTGATTACATTTAAATATCCAAAATATTTCATATGTTTAAATCATCCCAACGTTTTTACATTTCCTATATCATAAAAAAAAAGAAAAAAGAAAAAAAATTCTATATACTAATTATAAATCACATTTCTCTTTGTTTGCCTCTATATTTTCGCTAATCGTGGCATAGAGAGTCTTTCTTTTCTAACTAAGCTGGGACGGCTGACATCTGGAGAGGCCCCCAGAAGCAGTGTGTGAATCCTCCAATCCTATGAGCAACTTCTGCTCAGATTACAGCCTACTGAACTATCTGCAATACTCCATGAGAGCAAAATACACAGAGCCTCTCAGAACATCACTTCCTGCCTTGGGTTCCTGCCTCCTCCTCCTCCTCCTCCCCCCCCCCAACTCAAGCAGGTGGTGTCATTGCCTGCCTGCACGAGGCAAGCCCGGATCCAGCTTCCCTTTAAATGCTCCAGAGCTAATGTGGACGGGCTGCCTCACACCAATTACGGGACAGTTTAATACCACTTGAGTCAGCAAGGGATGCCAAAGTCAGTCACTCTTTAACTTGGAAGCCGGGCTGTGTACCACGGTGTGAAATGCAACGATAAGACAAGGAGGCGAGAACTTCCTTCCCACTATGCTGTTAATGCACCTGTCTAGTTGAGGCACCTTGTACAACTCCTCCCAGGCTCCTACAAAGCCCAGAAACCTTTAGAGGAAAACAAATGGGCCCAAATTAGTGACAGCCCAACGTGCTCAACAAATAAGTCCTTGAAGCTGCTAATCCCAGGTCAAGAGCTTTTAGCGCCAAGTAAATGTTAAGTAAAAAACACTGAACAGAAAAGCCTTTAAGTCGTTGCCTTCGAGACGGGAGAGGGGCTTAAACGTCCCGCAAGCAGCAGCCTGCAGAGATGGCAGGGCAGGGCGCTTAATAACGGAATTCCAATCAGTTTAGGATCTGGATTTGGGTCTCCTCGGGTCCTGCTGAGATCCAGCTGGCAGTCGGTGGGATCCGTCCTGACTTCCTTGCTCTCTGTGCTGCGACGGCTGCAGGCCAAGAACCCTGGCCACCGGACGCAGCTTCGGCCCACAATCCGTCTCCCTGGCGTGCAGCCTTCTCCTCCTCTTCCTCCGTCGACTTCGGTGACCATGAAGCTCCTTGGAGAATTGAAGGGCTCATCTAGAGACATCCCAGTAAGGCTTGCATCAGCCCCAAGCTGGGAAATAACTTCATGACCGTGTTACTAATTTAACAAGTGCAGTGATTCACTTAACAACTGTGGCACGAAAGGTGGTAAAATGGAACCAAGCTCACTTAACAACAGAAATTTTGGGCTCAATTGTGATCAAAAGTCAAGGACTACCTGTACAACGATAAGCAAAGCATTGTACCGAGGACCAAGCTTCCCAGGCCGATTTCACAGCGCTGCATTTGCGCCTCCCCCAAAGCCAGCGGCTGACGCTCCGCTGAAGAGGCAGGAGGTTGGCCAAAGCCCCTTCGGCCTCCTAAGCCACCTTCTCAAGTTGCTCACATCCAGGGCGACAGCAGGTTGACTGCTCAGCATTTGAGGTGTCACTGTGTAAATGTCCGAGAGCAGCTGCTGGCACAGGGGCCTCCCCCCTCCCTCCCTCCCCTCTGGAAAAGCATGGCAGAAGGAAGGAAGCGTCTCTTCCAGGGGTGCACTCCTTGGATGTGTTCCACGAAGGGATTTCTGATCACAGGTGGAGGTTGAGGGCACACTGGAAAGGGTCAGAACAGAGAGTTGGAAGGGACCTTGGAGGTCTTCTAGTCCAACCTCCTGCTCAATGAGGAGACCCTATAACAGGGGTATCAAACTCGCAATGTCACATGACATATTGCAACTTTTTTCCCATTGCCGGAAATGTGATGGGCGCGGTTTCGGCATGACGCATCCGGCCCATGGGCCGGCAGTTGGACACCCCTGTCCTCTACCATTCCAGATAAGCAGCTGGTTGCCGAGTCCCTTCCAGGTGGTCATGAGACCGTAGGGGAGAGGGCAGCCCTGCAAGGCTGAGAAGCCCTTCCGTAGCAGCTTCTTAATCTTGCACCATGTGTGATGCATGTGGCCAGCTGCAATCTCACTGCTTTGAACAGAAACGAACAGAGTAACAAATTGGAGATCTTCTAGTCCAACCTTCTGCTCAGGCAGGAGACCCTATAGCATTCCAGACAAATGGCTGTCTAGTTTCTTCTTAAAATCCTCCAGTGTAGAAGCACCCACAATTTCTGAAGGCAAGCTGTCCCACCAGTTGATTGTTCTCATTGTTAGGAAGTTTCTCCTTAATTCCAGGTTGCTTCTCTCTTTGGTCTGTTTCCAACCATCGTTTCTTGTCCTGCCTTCAGGTGCTTTGGCAAATAAATTGACCCTTTCCTCTTTGTGGCAACCCCCCAAATACTGGAATACTGCGATCACATCATCCCCTGAGTTTGACTAGGAACCTCTAAAGGAAGAGAACTCTCAACCAGTCTTAAAGTCTGTATTTTACTCAGTCCCATGTCAGCATTCTGAACTTCTGGTTGGCATGAAGCCTCAGCCTGATGGCACCAGATGGAATGGGATACATTCCCTGGCTTCACTCTGAGCGATATACATGATTTTCTTTCAAGATTCAACCTGTCTTCCCAAAATAAAAACTTGGATGAAACAAATTATGTTCAACACAAAGTCATCCATACAGTAAGAGACCAAAGTTAGACCACAAGCACTTAAGTAGATAGCTCAAGAGAAATAATATTCGAGTTTCTTTATACATTCTACTGTCCTCACTTAAAAGTTAGCAAGGAGAGAGTGAGACAGAAATCAGAATAAGATAAGATAAATAAAGGTAGTCCTCGACTTACCACAGTTCATTTAGTGACAGTTCAAAGTTACGGCATCACTGAAAAAAGTTACTTATGATCATTTTTTACACTTACGACCGCTGCAGCATCCCCATGATCACATGATCAAAATTCAGAAAGTTGGCAATTGACTCATATTTATGACGGTTGCAGTGACCAGGAATCACGTAATCGCCTTTTATGAACTTCTGACACGTTGAGTCAATGGGTAAACCAAATTCACTTAATAACTGTGTAACTAACTTAACAGCTGCCATAATTCACTTAACAACTATGTCAAGAAAGGTCATAAAATGGGGCAAAACTCACTTAACCACTGTCTCACTTAGCAACATAAATTTTGGACTTAATTGTGGTCATAAGTCAAAGACTACCTGTATAGAATGGGAAAGGTTAAGATACATACATCATGTGGTTTTAAGTGCTTTAATGCATAAATCACAGTTATCTGTGTCTGCACAGAACACTAAGCCACGAACTATGGTGTAGCAACCATACTGCTGTCCAAATTCAAACAATATTCAAACCAAACCAAGAAGCCACATGACGTATTGAGACGTGGAGCCCATAATTTCCTTTCCCTGAAGCATCTTAAACGTTAGCCTGCGTGCCAGAGTAGGAAGAGAACGGGTCTGTTCGGCAGAAAAGGAGAATCAAGTAAGATCACCCCCACAATCGCAAAAGATATGGCCTGTCAATTAAGCGGCAAGGAAGACCTGTCCTCTTGAGGCGCCAGAGCCAGAAAGGGTCACGAGGTCAGCCACGGACCTCGGGCTCAGGTGTTCCTGACTGAAGTCCCACAAACTCTGCCCTGGGGGCTTCAAAGATTACTGTCCCAGGAAGCCCTCTTCAGTCGGCCATCCACATGGAGCAGAGGCTATAGGTGATACCTTTTCAACCTCTCAGTTTCTGAAGGCAAGCAAGAACAATCTGTCCTTGTTTTCAGGTTATTCTAGAGCACATTGTTTCTATTGCATTTTCCAGCATTACGATGCGTTACAGAGATGGAGGCAGTTTCCTTAGACTATTTGGTTAGAGGAAGATTATGTAAGTTTCATGCTATAGCTACAGTGGATAAAGACCCTTTTGGGCTACCCTGACTTCATTTTGAGGGCCTCACGTTTTTCCAGACACACACCCCATGTGCAGAAGAGCTGGGCGCTTTATTATTCCCTTTTATTTGTTTATTTTACAGGTGAGTGGGGGGAGCTGCTGCCTTTGTCATAGAAATTCTATTTATGTGCCTTATTTACAACATCCTTTTTCATCTGTCTCTCTGTCTGTCCATCTGTCCATCCCCTCCCTTTTCTCTCAATATTTACCCACGGATGGGGTCTCCTCTCGTTTTATCCTCCAAATACAGGATGGCATCAAGGTCTACCAGGATGCTCCAGGCCTGAAAGGAAGCTTCTCTTAATTTGGGGGTGGTGGTGGTGGGAGTCTGAGTCCAAGATCTTAATCACAAATTTCTATGCCATTCTGTTATTTTCATGTATGTGTTATGTATCAAACAGATCCTCCTTACTTGGCAATTGGAGAAAAACTAGAGAAACTAATCAAGAAGACAAAACTGGAGAGATCGCCACAAGTTTTTAGTTTAAACCAAAGTATCTTCATGCATTTACTTACTGCCATATATGCATTCGTCCCGACGTACGTCTTTGCTATGGAATTCACCAGCTATCAGACAAAACAACTTGTTAGGGCCATATAAAGCACAAATGAAGTAGGTAATTATTCCTCATTTAACACTAATCATCCTATGTATAAATCAGAAAAAAATATGTAAAGTGGGGAGTGGACCAATTTGCCAGCAAAAGCATTAAAATCCATCCTCCTGGGTTTCCTTCAGATGAGAGTCCTCTTTTAAAATATCCATAATATTTCAATTGACAAGAGAGAATAAAAGCACCTCTAAAATCTGAAGGAGGAAGCTTGGAGTATTTACTTTCCTACCAAGCAACTGGATCCGTCTATTGGAAATGGGGTATGTGTGAAATCTAGCACATTCAAACAGTCCTCCTCCTCCTCCTCCTCCTCCTCCTCCTCCTCCTCCTCCTCCTCCTCCTCCTCCTGTCAGCTGGGCCCAAGATGTGAATAAAGCCACCTTGATTATCAGGCTGGAATGAACACTAAATATGCTGAGGGACAACAGATTCTGACAACATATAATGCAGCCGTGACCTCCTCTTTGGTCCTCATGTTTGGCTCGGAGGAAAGGCGGCTGCAATTCAATTCAACATTGCAGCGAGCGTGAGGGTCAGTTTCACGCAAGGTTCTCAGGGGAAGCCCCAAATGGAAATTAATTAAAATTTGTGCTGCACATTGTTAAAGCCCACCACCATTGTTGCTCCCAATATTAATTTTTACTATGGGCCAGTCGGTCTCCCCAGACGCCCCTCTCGTTCTGCCCTTCCTTTGTTTGGTCCAAGCGCTTTCAGAGCCAAGCTGCATATCAATGAAGTTGCCTATTTGTAAGTAGTAATTACAATATCAGCAGTTTTTACTGTCATTAAACAATGAACAATCATATTCTGATGAAGAAAAGTCACCAGGAAATTAAAAAGGAGGAATTATACATTCCCAGCAGAGGAAGCTCATGGAGGGGAGTCCATTTGTCTCCTGGCTGGTTTTGAAAGTAGAATTAAGAGGAGAAGACAATCAAGGAACACAGGGACGTACCTGGGTGCTCACTCCAAAGTCACATAACTTGACCTGGCCTCTTGTGTTCACCAACATATTAGAGGGCTTCACATCTGTGTTGGAGGAAGCAAGGAACGCAGGATAAATCCAGAGAGCATTGATTTAATAGCAAATGCAGCTGATGGCCAGATAAAAGAAAAATGAGTCTGTGCAAAAATGTAATTTGAGAAATTATCTCAGCTTTGACCCACCACTGGCCTCAGAAAGACAACAGGAGAGAGGGAGGGGGAAGCACATTCAGTCTTGCAACCTTCTCCTGCTATAGAGTTATCATAAAAATAATATTAGCTTGTGTGGTTGCCTTGTTTGGCCTACTGTGGAGGACTGATATAAGGTCAAGAGGAGGGAGAGAGGCCAAGAGTGGCCCATTAAGAAGCCGAGGGTAAGTAGGGCTTTGCAGGCCAGAAGGACATCGACTCACCCACAATAAGAATCTCCAAAAGAAGCCCAGAAGGTGACAGTGACAACGTGTGGCTATAAGAGTTAAGAAATGTGGAGGCATATCGAAAGGCACTCTTCTAATTACCAGAGAAGAAAGCAGAACTTGTGTGAATAGATCTGGAGATGCTGCAAAGACGTCTGGTCATGGGTGGTGTCTGAATTGAAGGAAGAGTCCTTGCTTTACAAGAAGACCACCCAGTTGGAATGAGGAATCTGAGAGGCATGAACCTTTTAGAGCTTGAACTGGTCAACGTGGAAATGAAACTTACCAAGTTGGATATCTTAGAAATAAATGGACTGGAATGGGCCATTTAAAGTCAGATGACTACAAGATATACTATGCAGGGCATGAGTCCATAAAAAGGATCAAAGCAGCGATGAAAATGAAAAAGGGCATCAGAAAATATGTGTTCATCTATAATCCAATAAACATCAAGAACATATTTCCCCGAATTAGTGGTTATCAAGAAAACATCGATGTTATACCAATCTCTGCATCTACAAAATGAAGGAAGGCACTGAGCAATTCTGTGGCAAATCAGAAGAGGTGTTAGATGCAACATCAGAAAGGGAAACAATTCTACTAATGGGTAATTGGAACGCATCAACTGGAGAAATGAAGAACACTATAATTACAGGGAGAAATCAATTTAGTAAATACAATTACATGGAAAATGGGTTAATAATTTTGCAAAAAAGAAATCTTTATTGCTGCGAACACCTGCTTCAAATACTATGAAAAGAGATGCCATAGCTGGATGTTGACCAGAAGAATGACATCAGAGTGAAACATATGACAGAACAGGAAACTTAAGTGCAAGCCAGTTGCCTGAAACTTTATCAAGTGAGATTGTGGAACAGACCTTGAATTTTTGGTGTGACAAACAGTTAGTCCTTGACTTACGACCATAATTGAGCCAAATTTTCTGTTGCTAAGAGAGGCATATGTGAGTTTTGCCCAATTTTACGACTTTTGCCACAGTTGTTAAGTAAATTATTGCAATTGTGTTAGTAATACTGTAGTTAAGTGAATCTGGCTTCCCTTTGCTTGTTGGAAGGTCACAAAAGCTGATCACATGACCTTGGGACACGGCAACCGTCACAAATAGGAGTCAGTTGCCAAGTGTATGAATTTTGATCACATGACCATGGGGATGCTGCAACAGTTATAAGTGTCATAAGTCACTTTTTTCATTGCTATTGTAACTTTGAACGATCACTAAATGAACTACCTATATAACAATCAACTTGAAAAAATCAAGAGACTAAATATGTCAGTGAAGTATGATTTGAATGGGACTGATGAAAGGGACAGCTCAATCTGCCTCTTTGTTTACAAAGAGGAAGCCGAGGAGACAGAATGTTAGTGGATGAGGGGAAAATTTTCCCAACATTTAAAAGACAAGGAGACCCAAGGAGCTTTCATAATAATCCAGGGAAAGGCAGAGGATGAGAAGGTGGAAATGAAACATGTATAGTCGCTTAACTTAGCTCTCTAACATCTAGGAAGAGAAGATCAGAAAAGATGTCACAATCAAGATTTCTTAAATGTCAAACAAAAATTTACAGATATGGTGTGAATATTAGGGATGCCACATTGAGCTCCTGGAGGAAATGTGGAATATAAATCTAACAAATGAGTAAAATAAGCTTTATGAAGGAAGAACAAGGAAATAAATGTAACATTGATGCTTTTTCCTTGCCATTATCTGAACTGTCAACAAGATTCAAGCCCTCAATTACAAAAACATACCCACTGCTTTATTTAGAAAACATAATCTATTCTCCTCAAAATCATCTTTAAAAACCAGACTCTCTTCATCTTGTGTGTGCAAGGAGGGACATGCAAACTGTTTCATCCTGAACCATTTGCAACCATCCTATCCCGAGCAGTGTTTGGAACTGAAGTGTTTTGAGCTAAAAAGCAGCGGCATTTCCCTGAGGTTTTGCATTTGAAACAATTCAAAATGAATTTTTTTGCACATCTCACCAGCAGAGCCCTGAATTCCAGAGTAGGAGATGCCTGTGCAATACAATCGCCAGTGAGAAATGCAAATTACCAAGAGCTCATAATAAGTGGCAACACAAAGCTTTTTCCTTTCCCCAGTGGTGCCAAGACTGCCGCCCTGGACTCAGCTTTTTCTAGAGAGATTGGCTGAAGTGCAAGGCACAGATGATCCCTTGCACAAGCTAGATGGTTCTCTCTTTTCTTGGCAAAACGTTCTACATTGAACGTTTTTCACAAAAATCTACATGTTTTACCAGCTGATGGAAGACGTATGGATTCCCTACGAAAAAGCAAGCCTTAGCAAAAAAAGATCTGTTCACTCAGACACTAGACCAGGGGTGGGGAACCTTGGCTCTTTTATGACTTGTGGACTTCAATACCCAGAATTCCTGAACCAGCCATGCTGACTCAGGAATTCTGGGAATTGAAGTCCATGAGTCATAAAAGGGCCAAGGTTCCCTACTCCTGCACTAGACCATTTGACCAAGCATAGGAAGCAACTGGGGACTCTGATGAAAGATCACCCCCAAGAAAGAGATTTAGCAAGATAAGGAAACAAAGAAAAAAAGATCTGTACCAGAAAAGCTCCAGGAAGATGCCAGGCGACAAAAGCAAACTCACCTATTATTATTTAATGGGCTAATATTGAATATTCCAAATACATGAGAAAGTGAAACTTCATAAAAGTACCATCTTGAAACCTTACTTTGTTTCTGAATCTCAACTCAGTCTAAATGCAAGCCAACCTTCACAGCTCTTCACTGAGTCAAAGGAAGGAGGTTAAGGAGCCCCTGCGGGTTTTACGCCCCAGTCAAGGCCGACTGCAAGGGAGGGGATGGGGCTTCTCTCGCTTTCAAGGCCACTGAGCCAGCATGATGTCATGGGGCCAGTATGATGTCACGGAGCGCTGTTCAAGAGTCAAAGATTGTCTGGTCTTAAATTCCACCACAAGCCGGTTAATTTTAAGATCTCAAAAATTGCTTTCCTGAAATTAGTCTGAATCGTGACATTCAAATGAAACATAAAAGAACAAATATGCAACTCACCCCTATGTAAAATTTTTAAGCTCCATAAATAAGTAAGGCCTTTAACAACCTACAAATCAGGAAAAAAAGAAATGGGTCAATATATTTAATACATAGCATAAAATGGAGATGCATATTTTCATTTTGCGGAGCTAGGATTGAAATCTAGTGATGCAAAAATTACAAAAGAAAAGGGAGTTGGCTGGGTCAGGCCTCAACAGAGAATAAATCTGCTTTGCCCTTTGAGGATCTTCCCCATTCTTACCCCCTTGGTGTAGGTAAGTCTTTCTAGGCTCTTGGCTACACTGGAAAGTCAAAACAGTTTGGAAGAAGGGAAGAGAAAACTTCTTCCATGAAACTTTTTTTCACCATAGGATTTTCTCTTGCCTTCTTCAGACTTTTTGACTTGTCCATGAAGTTCAACATGAGTCGAGCTTTAGCCAAAGAAGTATTTCTGTTTTTTCCTCTTGGAATCTAGAAACCACCAGTTATATCTTGCAATAAACTAAGGTATGAGAATAAATCTTTATTTAATAAAAAAAATAGCCACATTTCCATCTTACAATGGAAAGCAACTAGTCTTACCTTTTCAGAGTTTGCAAATATTTCATTATTAGAGACAGAAACGTAGGATGTTATTGGGGGAATAATATAACATGCTACATAACAAAGAGGTAACTAAGTGCCTTGGTTTTTTACTGCATAATAGCAACATCAGCTCACATAGCAGATGGAAATAGTGTTTTCTTTTTATTACAAAGAATGACACAATTTGCATGGGTTTTAATGATGCATTTTTAACATTAAAGGTAAGAATGTTATCAAGGGAGAGAACAAAACCCCCACATGTAGGAGTGCACAGACTGCTTTAGAGGTTGGATGTATCTGTTGAATGAATGGCTATAAAAAATGTCCTATTAACCAAACAACGGAATGGTTTTCATTTCTGTGTTTAAGACTGTTTTTTAAATACAGGTCCAAAGATCTCCCACAGCCTCTTAGGCATCGATCAGACATCTCACTATTCATTTACACTAAACAAAAGGACATTTTCCAATCTGGAGCACACACACAAAGTATTAAGCATTCAGTTGTGAAAGAGATGCCAGCAGAGAACAGCTTTTCACTAGATACTCCAGAAGCTATTGGAGGAACTCAATAAGGTAGGTTAGATAACAATGACTTGACAGAGCCTTGACACAAGGGGTTGTTGCACCTGCCATCAATCACTCATTTTCTTGACAGTTTAAGGACACCTCTGGGGGGGGGGGGAGAGAAGAGTACGGGTAGAAAGAACCTATAATCAACATTAGCACTTCAAATACAATGCAAGATGTCTCTACATCAAGAACTGAAAGGAAAATAAATAGGTAAAATGGCAAATAAAATCCAAACCAACGTTAATTTAGGCAAGATACTGATGGGAGATGCTTGGAGCTGGCCCTTCTCTGCTGTCTTTCCTTGCTGTAGCAAATACACAAAGAAAGAAATCCAAGAGAAGGCAAATCAAGACTTTTACTTATATTTTTGTGGTAGGGTGACTGCAGTAAAGTAGAGTAGAATAGGTTTATTGGCCAAGTGCGATTAGACACACGAGTATAGGTGCAAAACCACAAAGTAATAATAATCACAATAATGATACCAATAAGAGAAAGTAGCAGGACAGATGAGAAGGATAATAGTAATACGACTCTACTACATGACTAAATACACTTAGACATAAGACAGCAGTGTGGGAATTAGATGTTCAGCAGTGTGATGGCAAGGAGGGATGCTCTAGTAGTTTTAGCAGCATCCAGAGGGGAGAGGTTGAAACAGATTATGTCCAGGATGTGTGGGGTCTGTAGATATTTTCTCAGCCCTCTTTCTGACCAGTGCAATCCCTCAATAGAAAGCAGACTGGTTGCAATTGTTTTTTTCTGCAGCCCTAACTATCTGATGGGAGTCTGTACCTGTCCTGTTTGATAGCTGTACCAAACCAGACAGTTATAGAAGTACAGATGACAGACTCTAAAGCAAGTACAAATGAAGTACTCAAAAGCAATTGACAAGATTCAGAGACCAAAATAAACCTAAAGTAAATATAGTTTTAGAATTCCCGGATTTTCATAGCATTTTCTTCCCCGGTCTATTTGCCAAAATCTCTCACCAATAGGCTGTTTACAGATGGGGGGTGGGTGGGTGGGTGGGAGGAGAGGATTAGATTGTCCCATTCAGCCTCTGTCTCAAAAATAAATAACTGGTTGGTATTTCTATCTTAGAGTCAGATAGTTCTGGCTATTTCATATGCCCATATTCTGAGTTCACATTTTAAAATTTAGATTTAGATTGTGAGAACAATCCCTTTAAAGTCAATCTGTCAAACAGCAAGCTAATTCATTGCACAGCCTTCAGCACACCAGGAATTCTTTGCCCGTAAAACATTTAGAAGACGCCACCTGAAATTCTATCTTGTCAGGGTGAACACGATCCCAAGAAGTGGAAAGTCTTTTTAGTCAAATGAAAGTTACAGGCGTAATTATTTAGTAAGTTGCAAATTATTCCAACAGGAAAATGAAACACTTTTCAGCTTGCTGAAACAAGCCACGTGAAAATCCCCAGGCTCTCCCACACCACAAGAAACCACATTGGGCTCAAAAGTAAACCCATCTGGAACTGTTCCAGAGGGAGCACATCTGATGAAAAGATGCTCTTTGCGCATGCATCTGAAGTACAGAGGATGAAGCCGAGCTGTGAATTACAATGAAAGTAGCCTAAATAGCTGTCTGCGTTAGATTAAAGGGTTTCAGTTGTCAGCTTGATGTATAATGAGTGTAGAAAACAGGAATTTAATTAAGTAGTACATTATAGAATAACTCTGATATGCTTTAAACCACTTAAATTATCAAAGCCTGCCTCCGATTTAGCCATTGTGCAGCAATCCCCCTCTCTCAATGATCAACTGGGCGTTCATCTTGCTGCCCTTTGTTCAGCTTTCAAATATTATGACATGCTGGCTCCAATTTGGTCAATTCCGCTTAAGAACACCCTGCGGTGTGTGCAAAGGCGGATGAGGCATTATGAGGGCACTCTGCTCCCTTTTCTCAGCCATGTTTACCCAGAAATACAAAGAGTATTGTGGCATCTTGAAGATGATTATGGCATATGCTTCTCTGAATTCAAATACTTTCATTATATGCTTTTATTCAAGTGAACCTTAATCCATGCTGTAATCAATCGGTTCACTTTCCAAGCATTATAAAACTCTCTAATTTTCCCCATTTTTCTTGTCCCTCCTCACCACCAATTGCTTCTACTGCACCTACACACATTGTTTTGCAGTTCTATGATTGTTATTAAGCAATTCCATATTTATTAAATGTTTCAAGAACAGATATACCCCATACATGGTACTCACAGCTACAGCTATTCTTCCCAAGACATGTTCTGGAATTTTTCTGTAGACATCTAAAGAGCCCCCTGCAGGGAGAACAAAACATGATCAGCTAAAGTTAAGCTGGTCTTCTCTAAAAATGTCACGTAGATCAGGGGTCTCCAAACTTGGTAATTTTTAGACTTGTGAACCTCAACTCCCAGAATTCTCCAGCTAGCATGACCTAGATAGACGACTGGGTGTACACTTTGCTGTCCAATCAACTGGTGAGGAATCTGTGCCTGGTTTGCTCAAGAAATTTATCCTGAAGTGAAAGTGCAAAGTAAAGCAATCTTTAAGATTGTCATTAAAAAACCCCAGCAACACTTAAACTGCCATTTCAACCCACAAGAAACAACTTAGAAGGAAAATCTGTATTGATGACTAAAGCTGTAAGACGAAGGAACAGATGTTTTGTTAGTACATATAGATTGCATGGAATTGGGAAATATCAAAGCACATATAAACCACCATTTATTTCTGCCCTATCTAAATTTTCAATAAAAGTCTGTGCAGCTCTATTCAAGAAAACAGCATCAAGAAATAACTCTTGCTTGCCTGATGCATTGAGGCTTGTGAATGTTATTCTTAAAATACTTTTTTTTTTAAAAAAAGAAAATCACTATCTGTAGGATTCATTTCATGGTTCTAAGGGATATTGTCCAACCAATTCCTATTTTCTAATTCCTTTTTTTAAACTACAGTCCTTTACCAACGTTGTGGTATATCACTTACCATCCATAAATTCAGTACAAAGGGAAATCCGGTTTTCTACAAAAAAAGCACCATAAAATCCTATGATGTAGGATGAATCACACTGTAAAAAAAAGAAAGAGCAGATTAAATTATTTTTTAAAGAAAAAAACGCATGCTAAACAGAATTGAAAAAGAAGTGCTAGAAAAGCATTACCTTATAAAGGATTTCTAATTCAGACATAATCTGTTTCTGAAGTTCTAGTGTAATATCTAAAGGAATCACCTGAAAATAAATATGATTATTTATCAGCAAGAAACATTCCTGTACCATTTCTTTTTTTAAAAAATGTATAAGCTCTAGTTTACATCAAGAAAAAAAATCTAGCATGTTTTTAGGTGGCACAAGTTTTGTCCTCACTGTTACTGACTCAATGCCGTAGCCCAGTGTTTCTCAACCTCGGCCACTGGAAGATGGGGGGACCCTGGGAGTTGACATCCACCCATCTTCAAGTGGCTGAGGTTGAGAAACACTGCAAAAATCCACCAGGAGGTGGTTCAGAGGAGATTAACCTAGATAGGTTATGCAACGTAACTTGACTTCTGGTACTTAAAATTACATCTCTTCTGAGTCAAGCTTGATTTTTGGTGACTTCATGGAGATGACCCTACTGCCACTTTCTGGGATTTTCTTTGATTTCCCAGCTTAGTATTCATGACAGGCCCCCATCCATGTATGGACCAGACCCACACCTGTTTAGCTTCCAACCCCACACAAGATGCTGCCATGTGCAAAGCCCACCCTAATTATCCTACCACAGGGGATCCTAGTGGGCAGCCACCCTAGGAGCAGCAGATTCATTGATCTGGAATGAAAACAGAAAATTCCTATCTTCTCCAGGACATTCTGTGTTCAGAATGAAATGTTCTGTCCCTCCATAACTACAGGTAGTCCTTGACCTACGACCACAATTGAGCTCAAAGTTTTTGTTGCTGTGAGACGGTTTTTAAGTGAATTTTGCCCCATTTTATGACCACCCTTCTACAGTTGTTATCACTGCAACTGTTCAGTTAGTAACAAGGTTGATAAGTGAATCTGGCTTCTCCACTGATTTTGCTGGTCAGAAGGTTGCAAAAGGGGATCACGTGACTCTGGGACATGAATATGAGTCAGTTGCCAAGCCTCTGAATTTTGACCATGTGACCCTGGGTTGCTGCAATGGTTGTAAGCGTGAAAAATGATCGTAAGTCACTTTTTTCATTGCTGTTGTAAATTTGAATGGTCACTAAATGAACTGTTGTAAGTCAAAGATTACCTTTGTTATTTAAATGTTGGTATTTTTAGGACAAATAATACCTGGAATCTCTGACAATTAGACTAGGAAATGTGAGGCTGGATCCCACCTGCTCTGAACCTTCTCCAAATGTCATCCCTGCCTGGCAAAAACAGGGTGCAGGCCTAGACTTCTCAGAGTCTGGATGGGAATTTCAGGATCAGTCGTGCTTCCCGGATTCAGCCCAGCCAGCGCTCCTCCTCCGCAGCTTGGCTTCTAACGGAAATTTATTTCAATCCCTTGCTCACATCCAGCTGATTTCTAAACCTACATTTTTAAAGTATTGATGTCTGTCTAAACAGGGAAAAAAGTGCATAACCCATTTCTATCAAGAATTTGCTTTAGGGTTATTTATAAAAGCTGTAACTGTAATAGAAACGCTGCCAAGAAAACATTTAACACATTTCTCCAAATCAATAGTCATTTGCCAACAATATTCACTTACATTTTTTTTTTCTGGATGGAAAGCTTAAAACAAAGTAAACTGCTGGAACCGTTGTATCAATTTTGGTCCTTAGAGGAGCAGGGAAAATTTAACCCTCTCTGGACTCTAAAAGAGACCATTTTAAACTTTAATGTTCCTCTTCACTTTAACAAGTTCAGCTTTCCTCAAGACGAGCTTGCCCACTGCAAAACCTTCGGCTGCATATTGATCAGAGTGGATGACACAGAAAACAAATTCAGTATCGGCCAAGATAGGAAATGAAACAAGAACGCCTGAAAGCTGCTGTAACTTACAGGTACATTGATTTTTAAGAATACGAGGGGTAGGGCCCATTTTGTATAGAATAGTGGGACAGGGCTGCTTCCCCAAATTATATATTCACATTGTATACATCACATTGTGCTACACAGACCTTGTGTACAAAGTCTCTGTATTAAAGGTACAGATTAGATTAATAGGTACAAATTATAAATACTGTGCATTACAGGTACAGATTAGGTGAATAGCAGTAACTGCAAGAGGGATCTCGGAGTCCTAGTGGACAATCACTTAAATATGAGCCAGCCGTGTGTGCTGCAGCTGCCAAAAAAGCTAATGCAATCCTAGCCTGCATTAACAGAAGGATAGAATCAAGATCATGTGAAGTGTTAATACCACTCTGTAATGTCTTGGTAAGACCACACTTAGAATATTGCATCCAGTTTTGATTAGTACATTATAAAAAAAGATGTTGAGATTCTAGAAAAAGTGCAGAAAAGAACAATAAAGATGATTAAAGGGCTGGAGGCTAAAACAGTCAGACAATTGACTGTCTAGCTTCTTGAAAATCTCCAGTGATGGAGCGCCCACGATTTCTGGGGGCAAGTTGTTCCACTGGTTAATTGTCTTCTCTGTCAGGAAGTGGCCCAGCCTGACACCATCCTCTCTGTTAAATAACAGCAAGGCCACAGAGAAGGGATTTCTCAAGGCGGATTTCAAGAAGAAAGGGTTAAACCCCACCAGAAATACCTGAGCCATTTTCTCTGCTACACCTCCAGGACAAACAAGGATGAGTTGTCAAGTTAAATACAAGCACTCAAGTGACGGAATTATAATTTACTTGGTGCTCAATTTAAATTAGTGAGAGGCTATTAAAATATACAGTATAGCGATGGCAATTCATCACGGGCTGTCATGGATGACTTCATCTATTTGCCAGAGTTGCGTGTGTGCCACTAAAGGGAATGAGAGCAAAATCACAGGTCAAATTAAGCTGCAATTCCATTTTAATTCATTTATTTAATCTGTGGCAATATAATTGTCTTCTACAGTATGTACAACTCAGAAGAAATTTGGGAGTTCGATAGGCAGTATACAAATGATTAATCAAATGGACCGTTTAAATGCTAGTTAAGAGCAGAACAAACTCCCAGGAACTGCAGCCTGACATACAGCCTCGCAGCCGGTGCTTCAGTGATATGGGAAAGTCTCTAGCAACTAGCAAGTGTTGACCACACCAGGAGGATGGAGGCCTTGGAGAAGATGGCCAGGACTTGGTCACAAACCCACATCTGGGGTTTCCTCCACCCTGATTTCTTACACTTTTAACACAATTTACATGGGATTTTTTTTATTGCCATCTATAAATGGAAACAATTTATTCCTCTGCCAAAGAACCAGACCTAAACATATGCAACAGGGAATATTTTAAAGGATTTAGAGACTGGCAATCAAATACAAGTAGTCCTTGACTTATGTCCTTTTGTTGAATGACAGCTCAGAGTTACATTGCCATTGAAAAAAGTGACTTATGACTTGTCCTCAAAGTTACAACCGTCACTCTATCCCCATGATAACAATTGCAATTTGGCAACTGGCTTGCATTCATGAGGGTTGCAGTGTCCTGCAGTCATGTGATCATAATTTCCTAGCTGGCTTCCAATAAGCAAAGCCCAATGTTTACGTTTTGATACTCACCACCCACTGGAGCACAAAAATGGGAGTGATCAGAACCCTACACCACCTGGCTGAAGGTCTCCAGTGGGTGGTGAGAATCAAAATGTAAATAAAGATCTCTCTGTGGGAATTTTCTGTAAACTTCAGTGTTAAGGCTTCTGTGTTCCTTAATGTGTACTGCGCAGTCCAGGAAGGCCAGACTATTTTCCTTAATTCCCTTGTGAACTTGATGTATCTGTGAACAGATACATCAAGTTCAAAAAGAAAGATGTTAAGGAAAATAGTTGATGTATCTGGTGAAGGCTTCCAATTCCTGTGTTTTAATCTTGACCTAAGTATCTTCCACATATCTATACTAGTGAGTGGGTGGAATTCCTGTGATGGAGTTTAGGGCTTTGATTTCTTTCTTTCCATGTAGAGTTTGGCCACAATGGGGGACACAGCGGAACTCATGGCACAGGAGGGTTTTTGTCTGTAGAAACCAGAGCAACTAACTCCTGTTTAGGATGGCTGCCATGTCCTGGGACCACGTGATCACTTTTGGCCACCTTCTGAGAAGCAAAGTCAATGGGGAAGCGAGATTCACTTAGCAACCATATTACCAACCTAACAGTAACAACTGTGGCAAGAAAGGTCATAAAATGGGACAAAATTCACTTAACAACTGTCTTGCTTAGTAACAGAAATTTTGGGATCGTGTTATGTATGCAGTAAAAATGTTTGGGGATGGTGAAAAATGAATCTTAAGAGGAAGCAATTTTAAGAAGAATTTGTTGTTCCACCAGAACATCATGACGGAGGAGAAGAATTTGGTAGGAAATTATCTGTAATTCTCCCTCAGAAAGAAACTGGACAGTCAGGCATCAGTCCTGGAGCAGACATAAAAGCCTTCGCTTCCACTTTCTTTCTTAAGGCATTTAACAGTCTTAATTTTTGAATACAATCAAGAGGAAAGAGAAGAAACCATAATTTAACAATCTAAGATGAGAAAACGTATGAAATATACTGAGATGCTGACTTCAGATAGTTAAATAATCATACCATCAAATTAAATACTGCACTGGAGAAAGGCCCCTTGAACACTTGTGGAGAATCTGTAGGGTTTTTTTTTTTTTAAAAAAATAATACTAACATAAAGCCACCATTGTCAGTTCTGCAATAGATTAGAAGTCTTTCCTGCCTGTATTCCTCTCAGGACCAAGTTGTACAACCAAGAAAAGGAAGAAGAGATTGCTTTGTACTTCCCTCACTTATAAATCGTGCCCTTCAGTCCGGATGTGTGTTCACTGCAAAAATTGGCTTCACGTAATAAAGTCCTGGAAGAAGAAGACTGGGGCAGGGGAATCTTTTAAAGCAGATTTGTGAACAGACTTACCTTTACGGCTAGTATTTTCCCACTGGGGACATGGTTTGCTCTGCATCCAAAGAAGAAGACAGTCCGTTTAAAGCAAAGAAAAATCACAGCCATATTTTCAGTTTTACACAATGCTTGTTAAAGTTTCTAGCTAATGGCATCCCTGAGCAATTGAAGTTGTATGCTCGAATGATATATGCAACAAGCCCAGTTCCAGTGATGCGGGCAGTTCCATACCCGAACAACAAACAACCACAAAAATCAATCCTTGCAATGTGTGACTTATCAAGCTGAATAAAGCCTATCAGCCATGTCACACACACGCTCAGCTAACAACTCCCCGAGTCTCCCATTTCTGTTGCCTTTTCAGAACAAAAGGCCCAGGGAAGGCTTGACAAACCTCAGCACGGGAAGCTGACCCTTCCAAGGCTAATTCCCAGCCCTCAGGGCGCGTTGTGTCCATAGGAGGGAGCCCTCTCAACACAAGGAAATGCCCACAGAGCCAGCCAGATGCTTCCATGGTCTGAGCTGAATCATGGAATCCAAGTTGGAAGCGGCCACTGAGGCACTCAAGTAGAACTCCCTGCTTTGGCAGAGATCCAAATTAAAGCATCCCAGACGGATGCTGGTCCTGCTTCTGCTTGCACACATCAAATGATCAAGAGGCCATCAGCCCTTGGACGCACCGTCAAACCATTTGTGTGGCTGGGAAGGTTTTTTTTTGCTACAGTTCAGTTGAAATTTGCTTTCCAATAACTTAAAACCCCTCATTTTGCGTCCTTCACTCTGGAACAAGAGAGTGCAGGTCTTGACCTCTCTTTGTGAAGGATCCTTTCGGGCACTGGAAAAGGGCTTCCCACACCTGTTCTTCCTGAAGGCTAAACATGCCAGCTTCCTAAGACTCAAGCTCTGGCCCTTTCATGATCCTTGTTTCTCTTCTCTGAACCTGTTCCACGTTCTCAGAATACATCTTAAAATGTGCTGCCAAAAACATGAGTCCTGGAAAAAGTAGAATAAAATTGAATGATTACTTCTGACTAATCAGCCATCAATAGGCACATAGACATTAACAACATCTATAGACTATGCAAAAGAGACAATCCACTAGCCCAAAAGAGAAAACGACCCAAGCATCTCTCCACCACTAATCAGCATGGATTAGCTCCAAGGTCAACTTCAGACCAACAATCAAGTAAGCAAGACCCCAATCAAGAAACTGCCAGAGAGCCAACAGCAAACAGCCCAACCAAAGAATCCCTAAGACCCCCCCACCCACCCACCCAGACAGGGAAGACGCCAGAACAGAAACAGGCAGCTAACAGCACTCCTTATTATGGTACCACTGATGATGTTACCTAGGTAGGATAATGAAACGTCTGCAAGAAAACAAGCAAGCTCAGAGAGCACCAAGGAGCCCTCACTGATTATTTCACACTGTGTAGAAACCACACATCTGGTGGAATACTGTATCTTGGAATTATATTTGATAGTTTTTTGCAGTTCGATTATCCTCCTGACTCCATTCAGTTTGTAGTCAGCTACCATTTGAAGTTTCTATCTGAAAGCTATGTATTCTCCATTCCAGCTATGGGGAACGTATGCATCTGATTTCTGTGCTTTCATGAATTTTAAAAAGTATCTTCCTCTAAAAAATATTGCAGAGAAAAAATTCACAAATGGAATTTTAGTATTAAAAATTAGTGGTCTGGTAAGTAAATCCTAAAAACACCGTAAGAAAAATTATTTCAGAGCAAGAATTAACTTTCCTCGAGGGATTACTGAGGCCAACAGTGATAGGCAGAGTCATTACACCAGAGTAGGTAAAATGAACTATAAACTATAGATGGACAGTGGCAAAACATTTTGACTTTTAGATCAGCAGAATGATAACCAAATAGGCTGCCAAGATAGCCTGCTTAACGTCTGTTAGCTTAATATGTCCTGCACGGGGCAGTTTGGCAACTTAATTAGCTTGTCAAGAAAACGGATCTTTTTGTCCCCCTCCTCCCTCGCTGAAGGCGAGGGTTGGTCTCTTGTTTTCAAGTGAATTAAAAAGAAAGAGTTGATGATTTAATTATGATGCACGCCAAGTCATCCGTGGAGGTTTGGGTTAAATTTCCAGCCAAGAGCAGTACCTGGTTTGGTTTACAGAACATTGACACTAGCAATTTAACATTTAATTATCATTGTGGAAGGGATCAGAAAGCAAATACTGTGCCCGTGGGGCAAAGAGCACTCCTGGATACTGCAAGCACCACAACTCTCTGGAAGAAAGTAAATGGGCTTATTCCTAACCACCACACATTCACCGTTGTCTTGACCTTCTCTAGCGCATTATTCGTAAAGTGATTAATGAAGTCTGGATGGGAACTTGGGTTACTCAGAAAGAAAACTGGACACCTTAGCAATGCTTTAATTAACAGCAAACCCTTCCAGGTCGCCTGCAACTCCTGCAGTAATTACCTGTCCCCATAAACTTGCTGGAAAACACATTCAGCCCTAACTGAAGAACCCAAAGTTGACGTTTAAATTATGCAGGTGTTCTCCTGGTTCAACCACTGGCTTCCTGCATTGGCGTCAAGATCAGAATACAGAATAACAGAATTGGAAGGGACCTTGGCGATCTTCTAGTCCAACCCCTTGCTTCAGCAGGAGACCCTATACCATTCCAGACAACACATGGCTGTCCTGTCTCTTCCTAAAACCCTCTGGTGATGGAGATCACGGATGATTCAGTTATGGAGGCCTACAGGTACAAGGGGATGGATGTGCTCAGTTGCTTCCCTTGGCAAAGGACACAGAGAAAAGAGTTTCAGAGCCTTGTTGACTGCAGCAACCAATGACATGCATTGCTGTGCATTGTGCGTTGCTGATATACAATTTTGGACAGTTTCTATGCTTGCAGTATTAATAGAGCCCCTCCTTGAGGGAGATGGGCCGCCTAGAAACTAATAATAATAATATCAACAATAACAATAATAATTATAAAAAGTTGGAAGGGATCTTGGAAATCCTCTAGTCCAGCGGTTCTCAACCTATGGGTCGCGACCCCATTTGGGGTCGATCGACCATTTTTCGGGGGTCGCCAAAGAAGGCGATCCGCCATTTTCTCCCCTCAGGGGGCGGCGCCGTCACACAAACGTTGAGAACCACTGCTCTAGTCCATTCCCCTGCTCAGGCAGGAAACCCTATACCATTTCAGACAAATGACTGTCCAATCTCTTCTAATATAATATAATATAATAAATTATATTAATATAATACATATAACAAAACACAATAAATAATATAATGTAACGTAATATATATAATGTAATATATCCTTAGTGAAACTTCTCAAGCCAACCACCTGGCTCACACAGCACCAATGACGCCACGGCCTGAGCTGCAGACATTCTCTTCTGCTGGAATATTAATATGATGGAAGTACAATTTGTGACAATTATGGGCTGGTTACACCAAGAATATAAAACCCAGGAAAGGTGCACAGATCTTCGAGTGAGTATGGGGTACAAAATAAATCACTCCCACAAAGAAAGCAGAGCTTCTTGGAAGGGCATCTTCCAGTCACTGTTCTTGTGCATCCCTTTAATCCGTTCATTCATTCATTGGCCACCCATCTCACCACAGGGTGACCCTTGGTTCTGGAATCAAGAAAAGTGGGGAGCTTTCCTGTTTCCAGAAAGCATTCTGTGAATGGGGCACCCAGCCAAAAGAGTAAAGCTCAGATAGGAATTTTGAAATTCCTTTCTTAGTATAAACCAAGCTTAAGAAAGACAATTCCCCCCATCAAGAAAACAACGGCACAGAATTCTCTTGCCAAATGCTACCGATTGGGGTTTGTTATGCTGAGCCTTTTCTGAACAAGATGCAAAGAACAACCTTAAGCAGCACGGGCACAACTGTGTCAAATATTTTATTAAAGTTGACTACTGCCTACATCTCCAGACGTCTGGTTCCCTGGAGGGACCATTGTCCGTCTGATGTCATTTGGAAAACTCAAAAGCTTCTCTGCAGGGCCTTCTGACAAGGCAGTGTGCCCAGATGATGAGAGAGCTATTGGGGGCATCGAAAGACAAACGGCGTGATCAAAGGTGCACATGAATGCACACATACATGCTTCATGTGAGCAAAACCTGCCACGTTTCCCCTTCCCTCCCCTAAACCCTAATGGGAAAGGTATAACATGATCTCTCCATAAGCACAACTGGTGAAACAGGCAAGCTGCCAAAAGCTTTTTCACTTCTATGGTTTCTGATGTAAAGTCTGCACTTAAAGACCAACATTGTTGGGGGCTTGGGAGAACCTCAGTCCCTGGAGGCTGTGTGGACTTCAGTGCTGGCTGGGAAATTCTGGGAGTTGAAGTCCACACAGCTTCAAGGAGCCGAGGCTGAGAAACACTAGCTTAGAAAAACCATCGGCCTGGAATTACAGGGAATCCTCGGCTTACTACAGTTCGTTTAGTGACTGTTCAAAGTTACAACGGCACTGAAAAAATGACTTATGGCCATTTCTCACACTTACGACCGTTGCCACATCCCCATGGTCACATGGTCAAAGTTCAGACACTTGGCAACTGACTCACATTTATGACGGTTGCCGTGTCCTGGTGTCATGTGATCGTCTTTTGCCACCTTCTGACAAGCAAATTCCGTGGGGAAGCCAGATCCATTTAACAATCGTTATTACTAATTTAACAACTGCAGTGATTCACTTAACAACTGTGGCAAGAAAGGTTGTAAAATGGGGCAAAACTCACCTAACAAATGTCTCGGTTAGCAACAAAAACTTTGGGCTCAACTGCAGTCGTAAGGTGAGCACCACCTGTACTTCTAGCACTGAGGCAAAGGTTGGGCGCTTCTTTGACCAGCTTGTTGAAAGCAAGCATGAGGTAGTGGTGGTCCAAAGTAGGAGACCCCTCCCCTCCTGATGATAGCTTATTCTTCTCAAATTAAGGGCCAGGGAGCATCAGTGGACCTCAAGCCCCAACCTTTGGAGCACAAAGAATGAACCAGGAGGAGGAAACTGGTGGCTTTGGAGGCCTCTGGCAAGCCAGGAACC